TTGGCGTTGATTACACACTCCATATCTTTTCGTAATTTAGATATATCATCTCCTCAGTTGTATATTTCAACATCTCCCACTGTTGGTCAGTTGGTCTTGAGTAATGCCTTAACATTTTAGTTTTATGGTTCTCTTTATTGTTTTCAATTTTGAATTTTAATTCTGAGTATTTCAATTTCATAATTCGATTTCTTCTTTTCTACAGTATTGGTAGTGCTTGGTAGACTTTTTATTGTAGTCAACCACCCACTATCTAATAGATTGTTTAGTCTATTTCTTATATGCACACTCTATGTCCAGTTCAGTTGCCCCTAAACTAACACCCAACTGATTACTGACAGGTTTGAGTATGACATCTAGATTATGCAATCTGCATAAAGTAATCTATATAATTTTATATTTCATCAGTTGACTTTTTAGAGTAGTGTCAGTTGGACCTATAGTCAATATTCAGTTTCTTAGAATTTTGAAATGTACCGATCACATCACTATGATTGTGACTGCCCATCTAAGTTGTCATATGTCAGATGTCACTTTAACATTTACGTTAAGACCAGGAGCTGTTCTCTCTCCTGCTGTCACCCAATATGTAGCTTCTTTAAATTTATAATAGTTTTTAAACTGTTGTTCCTTTGTCTCGTGTTGTGTAAATATATTAGTTAATGTTTATGACATTCACCAAATTGTTTGATAGCCTAATTTTGACTAAGTAAGTCTAAAACGTTATAATAAAAAATTTTATCAACCATCAAAAAGTTTTTTCAAAATTAATTAAATTTCCTTCAGTTGAAAAAACGTTTCTGGGTTTATTTTAGATGCTCCTGAAGATGCTCTAGGAGCGAAAGTACTTGGATAAGATTTAATAAAAACTGTGCCCAATATCTGCCTTTTGAGAAAATATCATCTCAAAAATTTAATACATGTTCTTCATTCTTTATATTCATTCAAAATTAGTTGCCTTAAAAAACTTTCATTTGCTTCAAACTAACCTTTTCGGTTTGACAGTTCTCACTACTGTTAATGTACCAATAATCCGCATAGTCGAGGAAATTGTCTAGAAAGTGTAGCCTACTAGGAAATCATTCCATGAAAAAGACAAGCAAAAAGTTATTAAAACCTTATACTTCTTCTTTTTCTTCTTCTTCCTCTTTATAAGCAATTCTGGTTGTACATTGGCGGATTGATACCTCTATCAAAGTTTGCCACTTCAACTTTTGCGCAGTTTTTCGATATTTCTTGCTTTTTGATTCTGATTGGTGATTTAACTCTTGCTATTTTGACCACACGGGTATCTTCCATTCTGCTTGTATGGTAATTCGATTCTTTTTTTCTGTTTAGTGTCCACTCGTTTATACACTGTATGTTATATTTAAATTAAAAGTACAAAAAGCAAATAGAATGGCAGGATTCCTTAATAACACTATATGGCGAAACAGGCACATTAACACTGAGATGAAGTCAAGAATTTATAAAGCTAGTGTAAGACCAATAATGACATATGCCTCAGAAACAAGACTGGACACAGGCACAACTCAAAGCTACTAGAAACGGCAGAGATGATAGTACTGAGAAGAATTATAGGAGATACGCTGAAAATTCGAAAGAGAAGTGAAGACATTAGAAGAAAATGCAACGTACAATGTATAAATGGATGGACAAAAAATAGAAAAAAAGAATGGAATAACCACATAAGCAGAATGGAGGAGACCTTCTACCAATCGGCAGAAGAAGTATCGGCCGCGCAAAAGATGGAGTGACAACCTTCCATAGAGGTATTAATCCGCCAATGAATAAGCAGAATTGCTTATAAAGAGGAAAATTAAGAAGAAGACGTTTACATTTTTTTCTAATTCTCCTTCATTCCTCTTTTGAGCGGTATTTATTTCCTCCTCTCAGCGTATTTCTTGTAAATCTGCTCAGTATTTTGCCGTTTCCAGTATTCTCTGTGCTGTGGCTGTGTCGGGACTTGTTACTGATGCATATGTCACAATAGGTCTTACACTGGCTTAATAAATAGTTGTTGACTTCATCTTAGTACAATCAAAATCGTTTACAACGACACCGTTATAACGTACAATCGGATATAACAAACAAAATAGTAGGTCCCATAAAATGACATACAAAAAACGCATTTATATTGCTTATAATAAACAAATCGGTTAGAGCAAACGTATTTCTTGGAACACTAGTAGTTAAAATATTGGTTACAGCGTACATCTTAATAAATAAGTTAAAAGTGCTATCCTGTAAAGTTATGAAAATGGACATTGTAGTGTTGTATTTCTCACAGGTATTACCGATATTTAATACCACGAAATGGGAAGTAAGGATTTATAAATTTATGGTTATAGTACATCCGGACAGGCATCTACTGTCCTTTAGACAGTTAGACCTCCCAAGACGGGTCCATTGTATTACAAAATTTTGTTTATACATATTTCACCATTTGGCCTAAGCCAAGAGTTTCTGAATTTGAATTCAGTTGTGTCTAGCCTTCATTGAAAAAATGTCACGGAAACAATTTACTATTGAGGAACAGTTTGGAATAATTTGCCGAGTCGATTCCGGTGATTCCGCGAGTTCGATTGCCCGGGAATTTAAAACGTCACGCTCGACAATTGCTGGAATAATGAAAAGGCGAGAGAAAATTATTAAGCAATTTAATAAGTGTGAAAAAGGAAAACGCGTTCGGTCATCAAATTACAGTGATATTGAAAGTGTTTTGCTCGATTGGTTTAAACAACAACGCGCAAACAATGTACCCGTGAGTGGGCCGATGCTTCAGGTAAAGGCTGATGCTTTCGCTGTGATTTTGAAGAAGAATTTTAAGTGTAATGCTTCCTGGGTTCAACGTTTTCGAGCTCGCCACAATATTGTCCATGGAAAAATTTCAGGTGAGTCAGCAGTTGTTGTCAGCAATTATAAATGACTGGGTTGAAAATGTGTGGCCTACACTCAGGTCCGACTATAGCGATGATGAAATTTTAATGATGACGAGATGGGGTTATTTTTTAGACTGACACCTGATCACACGTTAAAGTTTAAAGGCGAGAAATGTTCCGGTGGTAAACTCTCAAAAGAGCGTGTTACAGTTCTTGTTGCAGCCATAAAATCCGGTTCCATAAAAAGGAAGCTTTTGGTGATAGGAAAAAGTAAAATGCCGCGCTGTTTTAAAAACGTGAAAAATCTCCCTGTTGATTATGATTTCAATAAAAAAGCCTGGATGACGTCAGCTATTTTTGAAAAGACTTTACTAAAATGGGACAGTGAACTTTTACAACAAAAGAAACACATAATTTTAATTGTCGACAACTGTCCGTCCAACCCCCCAGTTGACAGGTTAAAACAAATTAAACTCGTTTTTCTGCCTCCAAATTGTACGTCTGTACTGCAGCCCATGGACCAAGGAGTTATAAGAAGTCTTAAAGCATGCTTTCGGAAAGAATTGGTGTACAAAATCATCGAAAAGAGAGAGAATAACGACGATACGAAAGTCAGTATTCTTGACGCTGTACTAATGATATCAAAGGCATGGGAATCTGTGCGGAAGGAAATGATCATCAACTGTTTTTTGTTTTTCCGGCCTAACTAAAGACTTGCAACCATTAGGAATCGCATACAACGATATTGCACAAACGCATTTGCAGGATGCCCTTTCCCTTTTCAGTTCTGACTGCTCTGCAGATGACTATGTACGAGTGGATGACGAAATAAGTACGAGCGAAGAACTCTCAGATATTGACATCGTACTGAGTCACCAAACTAGTGACAAACAAAGTACTGATGAGGCTGATGAAGAATTGGAAGATTTCGGCAAAATCCCTACTGTTGCTGAAGCGTATACTGCTTGTTCCACCATACGAGCATTTATTCAGACTGCTGAAACTTCCCAGAGTGTAAAAGAATCATTATCGATTGTTTCCACATCAATTGAAAAAATGTTTTTTTTTTTCAGAAGTTCAAGGAAGGCGACAAACAAAAATTACAGACTTTTTTCATTAAATATTCAGGTAAAATGTGTTTACATATTTTGTAATACATATATGTATGTATTTTTTTTTGTCTTTTTAAAATAAATAGTATATGTATGCCTACATTTTTATAATACGAAGATTTGGAGAAGCCGTTATATTATGTGTATACTTTATTCACTACTTATACTTATTTCAATACATGTTATACATATGTATGTATATAATTAGATTTGCTTAAGTACAATAAACACATATGTTAAATGTTATGTATATGTTATTATAACATATTATAAGTATAGTTAAAGTAACACATTTTTGCGTCATAACCCTAGGTACAACGAACTAACTGTCCCTATTAGTGTAATATCGTTTATAGCAACCTGTTCATTATACCGATAGAACTGCTTACAGAGAACACTGGCTACAACGTACAAAAAGCACCAGTCCCCTGAAGTTCGTTATAAACGATTTTGACTGTATATTATTCTCCAGATCTGGACAGTGTAATTATAACGTATTTTATTTATATTATTTGTTTAATACGGATGCCATCGATTTCTATGTTACATCTGATTGGTTCTTTGCTGATTACGATTCCTTTAGTTTTCTGTATTAAGATTGTCATATTAAATTCTTTTGCTCTTATGTTAAATCTGTGAACTAGACTATGTCTTTGCAGACTATCTTTTCTTGGGCTGTCAATATTGCGTTGTCTGCGTAGCAGAGTAATTTTATTTCTTTGTTTGCCATTCTGTATCCTCTTCTGTTATTCATCTTTCATCATTCATCTATAACACTTTCAATTACTTTACCCATAATTAAATTGAAGAGCATCTAACTAGGAAATCTAACTAGGGAATCTAATCAAACTAGGGCAACTTCGCCATTATATAGAACATGGATTACATCTTTGAGTCTAACTTTGTCAAGTGTTTGGCGAGTATGAGCCGGATGGCTAAATCTAATTAATCAATTAATAATTATTACGTAATATTAAAAGCTATTAAAAATACTTAATAAAAATACCTTTTTTTGATTACTACGTTATCGCATGTTGTAATAGTCTGTAATACTTCCCGATTTTCAGTATTCATGGCATCCTTACAAGGTAGAGGTGACCACCAGGTCGGCAGGTCTCTAATTGTTTCTGTAACAAAAAAATTTATTTAAAAGCTACGTTGTACCAAAATTATTAAAGGTTTAGCTATACGATTAGTAACGTAAAAATAGAATGTAATTAAAATTTTCCCTGATTAAAGATAATACATAAGACTAGTAGTAGCTTTCCTTCCGAGGACAAAATATTTGCAACCTAGTTCTCTAGTATTTATTCGTTTTATCACGTGTATGTCATGTATATATAAAACAAAAAAAATACTTTAAGAAAATGTAAATATTACATTTTACTTTTTATTCAGGAAGCTCCTAAACAACTTAAATTAATTTGCAAATAAGGAATTAAACAAATAATACTAAATTCTAATACTAAAGACTGTATTCTAGCAAACAAAAAATCAATTTTCAAAATCACGCGTCACAACTGTTCGAAAGTAGCCGAAATCACGTGGTAATAATAATTTCTCGGAAATTTTAAATTTGATCATTGGCGGCGCGTAAAAAAATATTTTTCTTTGCTGATCACTTTACATTATAACAATATAATATTATATTTCTCTTTTTAATAATAAACATATTCCATTAGATCTAGTTTATAAAATATGTTTTCATAAAATCTTTCTCGCAACTGATCCTACGTATTCGGCAGTATTTACGTATTTAAGGTATTTCACCAACCACTAGAGCTAGAAGGATTTAGGAGTGATTTTGGAAAATGACCAAATACAAGTAATACAATCCTTGATAGAGAGTTATGGAATACAAAAATCCATTGATATTAATATGTTTAAACTTTAAGAAAGCACTTTGTACTTTGGCTTTATGAGCTTCTAAGTGGCATATTCGTTTTATGAACTTATGAAGTATTCATAAAAATAAGGGGTCTTACTGTAAGGAGGTCTAATTAATCTGATTACATTAAGATGACTATTTGCAGTACCATGAATTCTTTTTTAGTGAACTGCCAAAATTTTAATTAAATATTATACAACCATTTGCATATAAAAATGACACATTTATAAAAAATACACAACATTTTTTAAATACATTATCGAATATTGAATTTAATTCAAATAATATTTTAGTAAGTTTTAACATAAATAGTTTATTTATAAATGTGCCATTAGATAAGACTTTGAATATAATCACGATAAATTTTAGAGAGTGATGAAACATTGGCAACTAGAATAAGACTAAATATATATAATATTAACATAATAATAATAGATTTTATTTATAACAAAAAATGTCTTACAATATAAATTTACATATTTTGTACAATATTTAAACAAACCCGGTTTCTCACAGAAGTTGTATGTCACAATGGAGCACAACTTGTACGTGAGGGTTGAATTTTTTTTAACATATTCGCACAAATTACAGTTATAAAAACTTAATAGTAACATACAAACTATTGACAAATTACAATTAAAAAAACATAAAAATTTAAAAATATGACATTTATTGGAAATTTAAGCTCATTCATAGCTGTTCATTAATTCATGCAATTTATATCTATTACCATGGATCCATTCTTTAAATTGTTTTAAATTTTTTTTTATAGTTTTGTATTGTTTTGATTGTAGATGGTAGGCAATTAAACATTTTTGGTTCCAACAAATCAATGCAACGTTGGCCAATGGTTTTTTCTTTTTTTGGTACTAATATCGTTAAATTTCTATTTTTGGTGTGATATGTATGGTGGGTACAATTCAGAAATGATTTTTTACTGTGTAAATATAATAGCGATTTGTAGGAGTACAACTGGTTTAAATCCATGAAGTGACTGTCTGAAAATAATTGGTTCACTGAAGATCTTATACCTCTTCTATATATTATTCTAATTATCCAATTTTGTATAACTTATAGATTTTTAAGGTGAGCATTGTAGGCTCCACCCCATCCAATAATCTCATAGGTTAATTGTGATTGTACCAGAGAATAGTATAAAATCTTCAAGTGGTGAACATCTAAGAAGTCGCGAAGATATTTGAATTTTGGGAGTAAACCTCTTATTTTTAGACTACATATTTGATATGATGATACCATTTTAGGTGTCTGTCTATTACAATACCAAGGTACTTAATATTTTCTGCTTTTGGAATTGTTGTATCATTGTCAATTTCAAGTTGGTTGAAGTTTGGTAACCCAGTGGTGTATGACGAAATTTTTTTTTCGTCATACACCACCATTTATTGAAAGTTTTTTTAATATTTAATGTTAACTGGTGGAAGTTTGAAAACATAGTTTTCAGTGTTTTATTGTTACGTTGACTGGTTATGTTGAAATCATTTTTTTATTTTTACAAAGTCCATTTCGACATTTTTCTTTAACTTTTTGCAATTATTATTGCTATAAAAATGGCTGTATCGTCAGTGAAACTTATGATCTGGCCTGAAGTGTGTAATTTAAGTAAAGTGTTTATATAAATAGTAAATAAAAGCGACCCCAACACCGTTCCTTGCGGGACTCCGTTACCTACGGTTACCTTTTGCTGTCTGTCACTTAAGTAGTTCTCTAACAACTTAAAGGCCACATCTCTAATGCCGTAATTTTTTAGTTTATGTAACAGTATTTTGTGGTTTACAGTATCAAATGCCTTAGAGAGATCTACAAATATACATAAAGAAGCTTTCATATTATCTAAAGAAATGTAAATATTTTTTACCAATTTACCAATTGCATCTTCTGTAGACCTTCTCTATCTAAAGCCATATTGACTTTCAGATAGTATATTATGTTTGCTTAAAAAATAATTTAGACGAGATTTTATAATTTTTTCATTTACTTTACTGAGATTCGAAGTCAAGCTTATTGGTCTATAGTCTATAGTTTCCAAGTTCACTACGATCTCCACCTTTAAAAAGTGGTTTAATGATACCTGTATTTAATACATTGGGAAATATACCTAATCTGAAACAGTTATTGATTATATAAGTCAATAGTTTAGCAATTTGTTTTGCAACTTCTTTTAACATTTCTGATTTGAGAGTATCTATACCTGGCGATTTTTTATTTTTTAGTGAATGTATAGTTTTTATGACTTCATCTTCATTCGTTGGAAATAAATATATGCTATTTTTTACATACTCGATCTCTTCAATATAATTAGGAGGTGTATTAATTTTCTTAGCATATTTTTTCCCAAGTCGCTGAAATAGTTATTAAATAGTTCTGCAATTTTTCCATGATCTGTTATTAAATTATCATATGTCTTTATCTGCTCAATTTCTGTTTTAACTTCTGTTCTAGCACACAATTCTTTTACACATGTCCAAAGAGCCATTGAAGTGCAAGTATTTTTATCAATTTAGTCATTAAAATATTTCTTTTTTTCTTTTGTTAATAATCTACTGAGATCATTTTTTGATAATTTATATTCATTACTGATATTCATGTCATTGGGTGTTTCTTATATTTTTTATACAAAATATTTTTTTCCTCAATAGCTTTTAGTAGTTCTAAATTGATCCAAAGCTTTTTATTTTTTGATTTTTTTTTCAAATTTGTACTTCCTTAGTTGTTATTTCAATATCTCGTTGTAGTGTATTGATAAACTCCTTAGTTGTATAATGTATGTTTGTGGAATTATAAACAAAAATCCAATTTTCGCCTTTTAAATTTAGCTTTAACTTTATGTAATCAGTATATTTTTGAACATTGTGTTCTTTTGTTTATTTGTGGTACTAATTGAAGAGTTGAAAATTTCTAATATTAATTCAATGGGACTATGATCAGTTATTTCGTAGTTAAAAATGTAAGAACTAAGTTTATGTTTACTTTTTTGTGAATTTTCGCTGTGAAAAAAATATATCAGCTATAATGGAGTTATTGACATTATGTACTGATAATAGCTATTTTCAATTACATAATGAGTTCTATAAACAACATTTTCGGCTAGCAATGAGCTCTAGTTTCTCTCCATTATAAGCCGATATATCTATTGGAAGATTTTAAAATAAATATTATTTCTAAACAAACTTTAAAACTCACAGTATGAGGGAGATATGTAGATGATGTATTCTCAATATGGCCTCATGAATTAGCGTTGCTGGTCACATTCCTGAATAATATAAACAATAAAAAAAGAGACAATAACATTTACGATGGAAAAGGTATGGAGGTATGTATGGTATTTTTATATGGTATATATCTCTAAGAGCCATAGTGGTTATGATACTTAGGTGTATAGAAAACCAACACACGCCAACAGATATCTAAATTACAGATCAAATCACAATATCAATATTAAAAAGGAAATCATTAAATCTTTATACGATAGAGCCAAAAATTACTTGTTCTAACAAAAATTGAGTCTTAGAGGAAAAACATTTGAAACAATCGACCAAATAGAACAAAACAACTTAGAACTAGATCCTACAACCATACCTACATAAGGAATATTCAGAGAAAAATAACAATACCATACATAAAAGGATTATCAAAAAAAGGAAATAAATTCAACATTTCAACAATATTCAAAACAACAAATACGTTGAGATATATTTTATCTAAACTAAACCTAACAATAAATAAGGAAAAACAAAGAATTGTATTTATAAAATACCTTGTGAATGTGATCAGTTTTATTTGGGCCAAACATCAAGGCCATTAAATGGTAGAGTAAGTAAACATCAATATTACATTAAAACTAGAGAATTTGACAGATCTCATATGTAAACACGCATGGAAAAATGAACATAGGGTTCAATGAAACGATTCAAGTATAAAAGTTTAAAAGAAACAGATGGTAAAAAGAAAAAAATCAAAGAAGCGGCTCTAATTATGCTAAATGAGTCCAATTGTGTCGCTAATTCCTCGGCGTACTGTAGTAGAATCTGGATACCCATATTAAAAGAGGAAATTAATAAAAGGAAAATACCACTATTAGTAAGTCAGTAACATATCGAGGATACATTTTTTACGTTAATTAACATAGGTACATATAAAATCAGAATTTGATGTTTATTGGCAGTAAATTAAATGTAACACCAAATAATTACCATGTTGAGATACTATTATGAGGTTTTT